AAAGGAATACGTTAATACGTACGCTATATACTAACGTATTAAGGCACTAAAGCATTAGCCTTTTAGCGAGTTGTCCTCTTTACTAATCCCTTATAAGCTATTTGTAGAGCTTATAATAGACTTTATTATAGGCCTTCCGCCTACTAAGCGTAGGGGCAGCAAGGACGTATATAATGCTATCCTTGTTATAGTAGATCGATTTACTAAAGGCGCTCGATATATCCTAGCGCGCAAGGATTAGACTGCTATTAATATAGTAGAGGCGCTATAGACTAACATCTTCTATACCTATTAGGGAACCCCTAAGGGGATAGTCTCCGATAGAGGCTCGATATTTACATCGTACTATTAGAGCGAAATATGCCTATAGCTAAGACTAAAGCATCGGCTATTAATAGCCTTCTATCTACAGACTAACGGTTAGATAGAGAGACAGAATGCTACCCTATAGCAGTACCTACGTAGCTATATTAACGAGAACCCTAATAACTAGGTCAATCTCCTATAACTAGCCGAATTCGTATATAACAATAGTGTCTACTTATCTACTAAGGTGTCACCTTATTTCGCTATAATAGGAAGCAACCTTGCGCTGCTATAAGACCCCCTATCGCTCGAGGCCGAGCGTAAGGAAAGGGAAGCGGGTTAACCTAAGACACTAGCGGCTATTAAGAGGGTTTAAAAGATGCGAGAGATTTACGCCAAGATAGCTAACAAACTAATAAAGGCCTAGGCCTATTAGAAGGCCTACTATAATAAATACTACCTTCTAATAACCTTTAAGCAAGGCGACATAGTTATGCTTAGTACAAAGAACCTCCGTATCCGCAAACACCTATTACCCGATAGCAAATCAAGGCCTAAGCTCGTACTAAGATACATTAGCCTATTCCGCATCCGAGAACTAAAGGGCATATAGGCCTACTAGTTATAGCTTCTACCCTATTATACTATCTATAACACCTTCTATGTATCCCTCCTTAAGCTATACTATTAACGCGAAGGCGATAAAGCGCCTACTAAGTTAGAAGAAGTCTTAGCTAATAGTAAAGAACTATAGTCTATAGAACGTATTCTATAGCACCGGACTAGGAAAGGCAAGAAGGAGTACCTATTAAGATAGTAAGGCTATTTACCTAAATAGGACTTATAGGAGGCTAAGGACTCGTTTAAGGATATAACTAAGTTATTAGATAAGTATTAGACTAGCGTAAAGAACACGAAGAAGGCTAAGAGCTTATAATGCCTATAATGTTACTACTAAGCCTAGGACTAATGCTACCCCCGGGGTGCTATTAGCTAACTAATTAGAGGCAAGCAATTGTTAGTAACAAAGGATAATAAGACTATACTACTATAGTAGATGCGCACCGAGCGTTAATAAACGCGCTATAACTATTAACTAATCGCCTACTCTTTTAAGGAATCTACCTCTTTACTAGCATACCCTATAAGACCCTCCTCTTAGCGCCCCTCTTATTCCTACGTCCTATTAGGGCCCTAAGGCCTAGGCGGTCGATAGAGGCGGCGCGCGCGTAGGCGAATAATGTTAGTAATAGTAATAATAACGACGGCGCGGCCGGCGCGGCTATATTAGTAACAGTATTACAGAGTGTATTACTATTTAAGAAAGGAAGGACATAGCTATATTAGTAACGGTATTGCTAAGTTGTTATTAGTTAAAGAAGGAAATTAAAACAAGGTAAAGTTAGCGCTAAAACGACTAGCGCCGCTATTATTAATATTACTTGCTATTATCGCTACGCCTACAGATACAACCTTACTTGCACTACGAGCCTAAGGCACCTTTAATCAAAACTTTAATTAAAACTTTAAGCCGCTTAAAAGATTAAGCGACTAATAGACTAGCTAACTAAGGGCAAAACTATAGAGCTAAGCTAGCTAGGGTCGATCTTGCGGACAATAGGTTACTCCTCGATCTATCTAACCCTTTAAGCGAGGCGAACCTCTACTACTATACTTATAATAGCCTTTACCTATAGAAACTAGACGAGCTATGTTTTTTTCGGAAAAGATAAGATAAGATTGACAATTAAAGGCTACTAAACCTAGCTAATTAGGGCTAGCGAAACTACGAATAACAAGAACAATAACCCTCGGAACGGACAAACCCTCGGAAGCGGACATTGCTAGGTCTTTTAAGAGTAGACGTAAAGAACTCGGTACGATATTACGTAGAGCGGAGGCAGGGCTGCAATACCTCGTACGTCTACCTATTATAGTAGGGAAGACGCGCTCGTATTATAATTAGTCGAAGGCCCTTAATTCTTATAGATATATATTACTCTATAGTTTATTATATATAGGGATAGCGCAGTTAGAGTTAGATATTGTGTTAAAAGTAAGGTTTAATATAGTTATATAATTAGGTAGTTAAGTGTTTAATTTAGCGCGGCTAAGCAGCTTATTAGACTTGCTAAGTTAGTAGTAATAGAGGTCGAGGTTAGAATATAGAAAGGCTACGAGGGCGCGGCCTTTAGAAGAGAAGCGTATGTTAGAGGCTATACGTAATTAGTATATAACTAGCTCGAGTAAAGCTAGGGTCTTAGTGCCTTAGGCAGGGCTTAGCGCTTAGCGTTAGGCTAACTAGCCTACCTTCCTCCTTCTCCTCCTAGTTCTCTATCGAATACTACTCGTACCTACTACTACCCTATCTACCTACTAATATACCCTTTTTATAAGTGCCTTAAACTCCGCCCTTTTAATAACTATTACCTTACTTCGAGTGTAAGAAGGGTTATGTTAGCAGGTAGATAGGGTAGTAGTAGGTACAGGTAGTATTCGATAAGGATCTAGGAGGAGAGGGAGGAAGGCGGGAGAGTTAGCCTAACGCTAAGCGCCAAGCCCTGCCTAAGGCACTAAGACCCTAGCTTCACTCGGCCTAATTATATGCTAATTACGTATAGCCTCTTTAGCTCTAATATACGCTTCCTTTCTAAAGGCCGCGCCCTCGTAGCCTATCTATGTTCTACGACCTCTATTGCCGCTAACTTAGCAAGTCTAATAAGCTACTTAGCCCGCGCTAAATTAAACACTTAACTACCTAATTATATAACTATATTAAACCTTACCTTCTAATACAATGTCTAACTTCTAACTGCGCTATCCCTATATATAACGAAATATAAAGTGATATGTATCTACAAGAATTAAGGGCCTTCGACTAATTACAATACAAGCGCGTCTTCCCTACTATAATAGGTAGACGTACGAGGTATTGCAGCCCTACCCCCGCTCTAAGTAATGTCGTACCGAGTTCTTTACGTCTACTCTTAAAAGACCTAGCTATATCCGCTTCCGAGGGTTTGTTCTTATTATTACGAGGGCTATTATTGTTTGTAGTTTCGCTAGCCCTAATTAGTTAGGTTTGGTAGCCTTTAAGTGTTAATCTTATCTTATCTTTTCCGAAAAAACACAGCTCGTCTAGTTTCTATAGGTAAAGGCTATTATAAGTGCAGTAGTAGAGGTTCGCCTCGCTTAAAGGGTTAGATAGATCGAGGAGTAACCTATTGTCCGCAAGATCGACCCTAGCTAGCTTAGCTCTATAGTTTTGCTCTTAGTTAGCTAGTCTATTAGTCGCTCAATCTTTTAAGCGGCTTAAAGTTTTAATCAAAGTTTTAATTAAAGGTGCCTTAGGCTCGTAGTGCAGGCGAGGTTGTGTCTATAGGCGCAGTAACAATAGCAAGTAATGTTAATAATAGCAGCGCTAGTCGTCTTAGCGCTAACTTTACCTTCTTCTAATTTCCTTCTTTAACTAATAACAACTCGGCAACACCGTTACTAATATAGTTGTGTCCTTCCTTTCTTAAATAGCAACACACTCCGCAACACTGTTACTAATATAGCCGCGCCGGCCGCGCCGTCGTTATTATTACTATCGCTATTTACGCGTGCGCCGTCCTCGCAGATCGCCTAGGCCTTAAGGCCTCGATAGAATAAAGGAATAAAAGGGGGACCTATAGGGCGCGTTAGTAAAGAGGTAGAGTCCTTAAAAGAGTAGGCAATTAGTTAATAGTAATAGTGCGCTCGTTAGTACTCGTTGCGCGTCCGTTATCGTAGTGTAGTCTTATTGTCCTTTACTAACAATTGCTTGCCTCTAATTAGTTAGCTTAATAGCACCCCGGGGGTAGTATTATTCCTAGGCCTTTCTAGTAACATTATAGGCCCTTAGCCTTCTTCTTGTTCTTTACGCTAGTCCAATACTTATCTAACAACTTAGTTATGTCTTTAAAAGAGTCTTTAGCTTCCTACGAGTCCTATTTAGGTAAATAGCCTTACTATCTTAGTAGGTACTCCTTCTTGCCTTACCTAGTGCGATACTATAGGATACGTTCTATAGACTATAGCTCCTTACTATCCGCTAGTATGTCTTCGTGTTCTGTAGGGGCTTCGTCCCCTTCGCGTAGATAGTACGGCTTAAGGAGGGATATATAGAAGGTGTTATAGATAGTGTAATAAGGTAGGAGCTACAACTAATAGGCCTATATGCCCTTAGCCTCTCGAATGCGGAATAGGCCGATGTATCTTAGTGCGAGCTTAGGCCTTGTTTTGCTATTAGGTAATAGGTATTTACGGATGCGGAGGTTCTTTGTGCTAAGTATAACTATATCGCCTTACTTAAAGGTTATTAGTATATAGCGCCTATCGTAGTAGGTCTTTTAGTACTCTTAAGCCTTTGTTAACTTCTCGGCTATTTTAGTATAGATTTCTCGCATCTTCTAAACCCTCTTAATAGCTGCTAGTGTTTCGGGTACTTAACGCGCTTCCCTTTCCTTACGCTCGGCTTCGAGCGATAGTAGGTCCTATAGTATAGCAGCATTCTAGCCTATTATAGCTATATAGGGCGAGATCTTAGTTAATAAATGTACACTATTGTTATACACGAATTCTATAGGCTATAGGAGGTTAACCCAATCCTCGGGGTTCTTATTAATATAGCTACGTAGGTACTGCTATAGGGTAGCATTCTGCCTCTCTGTCTAACCGTCAGTCTGTAGATAGAAGGCTGTTAACAGCCGATGCTTTAGTCTTAGCTATAAGCAAATCTCGCTCTAATAGTAAGATATAAATATCGAGCCCCTATCGGAGACTATCCCCTTAGGGGTTCCCTAATAGGTATAGAAGATGTCACTCTATAGCGCCTCTGCTATATTAATAGCAGTCTAGTCTTTCCGAGTAGGAATGTAGCGAGCACCCTTAGTAAAACGGTCTACAATAACTAGTATAGCGTTAAAGACGTCTTTGCTTTCTCTCCGCTTAGTAGGGGGAAGACCTATAATAAAGTCTATTGTAAGCTCTGCAAAAGGCTTCTTTAGAACAGGGAGTGAAGACAACTCGCTAAATAGTAAGTGCTTTAGTGCTTTAACTCGCTAGTATACTATATAGGTCTATATATACTCCTTTATATGCCGCTTACTATTTAGCTAGTAGTATGTGCGCGATAGTAACTCGTGCGACCTCTCTATGCTATAGTAACTAGCGAGCTTACTATTATAGTGCCTCTTTAAAAGCTCTTGTCTAATCGATTGTTTAGCGGGGACATAGTATCTGCCCTTAAACTTTAAATAACCTTTGTCGTCGATCGACTAATTACTTTTGCTAGATCGAGTCGTTCGCCTACTTATAAGCCTATTAATACGCTCGATAGCAAAGGCGTCCCTCTGCTAAGCACGCAACAGCTTATCTATAAACGATTAACTATCCCTATTTGTAAGGTTATTTAATAGCACCCTCGCTATTAAACGAGGTACGCATTATATATATCTAATAGCACTAGCAGCCGGAACTACTACAACCTCTTCTATAGTGCTGTCGCTATATAGGCTATTACTATAGATAGCAATGTCTTCAATCGAGTTATTATAGCTCGAGCGATCTACGTCCTTTCTTTTAACGTGCACTAGAAGAACGACAACTCCGCTATAGTATTTGTTATCGCCGCGGGGTCTAGAAGTCCGCTTATCCTACGCTTGCTTATTAATAATACAGGCTATAGCAATCTTATGCTATAGGGTTAGAAACAAAGAATTGATATATTAGGTCTCGCTATCGTAATTAGGTCGCCTCGATAGGCTATTAGTAGGGTTGCTTACGCCTAGCCGATATAATATATTAAAATCAAACCTAGCGAGGTAGACGGCCTATCTAGCCTATCGACCTATAACCCTAGTAACCTTAGTAATACTACGGAGGTTGTTATAGTCTGTATAGACCTAAATAGTATGCTATGCACTATCGAGATAGTGCCTCTAATGTTTAAAGGCCTCGATAATAGCTAGGAGCTCTTACTCGTAGGTCTCGTAGCGACGCTCTATATCGATTATCTTTCGTAAAAAGAAGGCAATTAGGTGCTAGTAATAGTCCTTATCTAATTGCTATAACATAATAGCCGATATAGCGAACTGTAAAGCGTTAGTCTTAATACGGATCTGCTTGCTTAGTATAAAATAGTGCAATAGGGGCACTTTAGTAAAGCGTTGCTTTAGACCGTTAAAAGCGGCTTGCGTTTTATTAGTCTATTTAAACTCTCTAGACGGGTTAGCCTTAGTTTTAGTAAGCTTAGTTAGGGGCATCACATGCCGTAAATAGCTCTTAATAAAGCGACGATAGAAATTAGCGAAGCCGAGGAACGACTATAGTTCCTTAATCGAAGTAGGAACAGGCTATTTAGTAATAGTCTTAATCCGATTAGGATTAGCCTTAACACCCTTAGTTAATACGAGGAAGCTAAGGAATAACACCTCTTTAGCAGCAAAGGTGCATTTAGAAGGTTTGTAATATAGTCTATAGGCTCGTAGGCGGTCGAGGACCTTACGTACTACGGCCTAGTGTTCTGCAATATTAGGTAAATGTGTGTAAACTAGGATGTTATCTAGGTAAACTATACAGAGATAGTCTAACAGGCCTAAAAGGGCTCGATTAATATAGGACTAGAATGTTATAGGGGCATTAGCTAGGCTAAATAGTATAACTAAGTATTCGAAATAGCTATAGCGAGTACGGAAGGCTGTTTTCTATTCGTTACCCTTACGAATGCGGATACGATAGTACGTATCCTTAATGTCTAGTATAGTATAGTAGTAAGCCCTAGAAAGGCGATCGAGGGTCTCATTAATAAGGGGGAGTAGATAGCGGTCTTTAATAGTAATAGCGTTAAGCCTACGATAGTCGATATATAGGCGTAGGCTACTATCCTTCTTTAGTACGAACAGGATAGGTATACTAGCAGGGCTGTTACTATACCGAATTCGACTATTAGCTAGGTTTTCCTCTAGGTACTTACGCAATATAGCAAGCTCTCGCTTACTAAGGTTGTAGAGGGGTCTAAAAGGGACCTCTTTGCCCTCTATAATATTAATCTTATAATCCGTCTCTTTAAACATAGGCAATGTCGATACTAAGTAGTGTTTGAACACCTTAATATAGGTCTCTCGGATAGGCTCTAGTATACGAGCAAGCTAATTAGGATTATTAGGGGGCATAGGTTTATCGTTATTACTACCGAGCAAATCGGCAGTCGGATTAGCTAAGGCTAAGGCTAGTATTAGGTTGCTAATAAACAGGACCCTAATATTATTAGGACACTCGCTAACATTAATATATTTAATGTCCTCCTTCCTAGCGATTCTAAATCGCTACTTCTAGAGGCCTAGGTCTATAGCTACAGCGTAGTACTTAAGAACAGGGTTGCTAATAATAATAGTAGCTCCCCTATATAGGTTGTCTATATCTACTACGTAGGCAGTAAAGTCTAGTAGGCGCTCATTTCCGAGGTCGTCCTTTAGAGCTATAGGAATATAGTAGGCCCTATAGGTTAAGTGCCGAGCGTTATTAAACTAAGCAAGGGTTAGTAGGTTAGTCTTCGGCAGTTGTCGAAGGTCTAATTGCTTAGCTAGGCGATAGCTAATAAGGGCACTAACTGAATTTCCTAGATCTAGTATAACCTTAGTTTAATAGGTAGTGCCCTTCGTGTCCTATATAAGGTAGGAGCGTATTATAGCTAGCACAATGTCGATAGTCTTACGCCGCACAAGGCTAATAGTTAGTGCGGCGCTTACTCTTTTTTCGACTAATTAAAAGAGCCGACTAGGGTAGCATTAGCGGCTAAAAGGTGTTTCCTATACTTAGCGGAAGCACGGTTAATTCGGGCCTAGTTCTTAGGTTTGTCGCATTAGCCTAGTAGATAGCTAGTACTATTACAATTGAAGCACTTTAATCCGGTTAGTAGACTGCCGTAGCTATTGTTATTAGTTAAGCGGTTAGCGTTGTAAGGATACGAGCCCCTTCTACGGCCCCTATCGCGGCCTCCTCTATATAGCCGGCGGCTACGGCCTCTTCTACGGTCGTTGTTACTGTTCCTATTGTTAGCGCTGTTGTCTTAGTAGGAACCTTGATTTCCTCCGCGGCTACTACGGTTGCTATAGTTAGTACTAGTTAGTCGGATCCTCGATTCTAGTCTTTATTAGAGTTAAACAGCTCGTTTAGCTGTTTCTACCTCGACTATGAATTGAATACATGTTAGGTTAGCCTATTTAAATACACGGCGGCGGTCCAATTCGAGAATAAGCTCCTACCTAAGCTTAGGGCGTATTTCGGAGATCTATATAGAATTAGTCTTAGCTAGGAGGTCATCCTCGAGGGTCTTTAAATAGGCCTCAAATAAGCGAGCCGATTAATTAGTCTTCTATTTAGCTCGAAGATATAGGTCCTAAGCATGTTATTGCCTTAGTATAGGGTTTCTAAGGGTGTCTAGTATAATAGTTTTGTAGGTCTGCTACTAAATAGCGGTCTAATCGTTAAGGGAGTCAAAATAGTTATCCTATATACGCTTTAGGTCGCTATTAATGTACTGCATAGCGTGTACGACTAAGGAATAGTCGTCTAGTAGCGCTCTTAGTACGTTGCGCTAGTTAAGTTTACAGTTACGAATGTAGTCGTTGTACTGCTTCCGACTAGAGCTATTAAATACGGTGCAGTCCTTAAGTTTAGCATCCTTCTTTTAGATAGGTAGTAAAGAAGGTCCTGCTGCTAGCTTAGTAGTAGTTGTTAGAGATTCCTAGAGGCAGCGAATCTCGAGAAGATTATCCTTTAGCTGTTATTCTTAACGCAAGGCAGTAAGCCTGTTTTAGGTAGCTTCTTAAAGCCTCGCTACTAGCTAGAGGCTAAAGGCCGGCTAGCTATATCGTCGATTAACAATGTTATTAAGAATGTCGTTAACAGGTAATTCTAGATTATTACCTAGAATTGCAGGTTCTTCTTTAATAGGTCCTATAGCAGGCTCTTCGGTAGGAGGCACTTTAGCAGGCACTTTAGCAGGAACTGTGCTACTAGCGTTGTTATTGCTAGCGCTACTAGCGATAGTACGGTTGTTATTTCGTAATAAGCCGGCTATTATAATAGGGGATAATACTAATAATATATTGTTAGCCCCTAAGATGCGGATATAGCGGAATTAGTAGATATTAGTCTAGTGCGATTGACTTAGTATAATAGGCCGTATAGAAGGCCTTGCTTAATAATTAGTACGGTTGTTTCGATAGAATAGTACGTATAGGTCCCGTTCTTCGGGCGCAATATAGTTAGATTAGTCTTATTCGTAGCTATACCGCTAAAAGCTTGAAATAAGGACTATCTAGCTGCTGCCCTTAAAGGGTAGATCGAATACTATATAAGAAGGGTTATATTAGTAGGTAGATAGGGTAGTAGTAGGTATAGGTAGTATTCGATAAGGATCTAGGAGGAGAGGGAGGAAGGCGGGAGAGTTAGCCTAACGCTAAGCGCCAAGCCCTGCCTAAGGCACTAAGACCCTAGCTTTACTCGGCCTAATTATATGCTAATTACGTATAGCCTCTTTAGCTCTAATATCGAGAGCCTTCTTCGGCGGAGCTAGTAACTACTATAGGCGACTCTATAACCTCCTTCTTAACCTCCTTCTTAACCTCCTTCTTAACCTCCTTCTATAGGAGGTTTATATCTACCCTTAAGTCCCTTACTACCTCTACGAGCCGGTTAACCTTAGCTATAAGTAGACTAATATTAAACTACTTCTTAAGTAGACTCGGCGGTTTAATTAGTGCTAGAAGTGTCTCTTTACTAAGCTTATAGCGACTTAGTCGACGGCGTATATAAGACAGCCGAAACTCGGTTAGTAGCTAATTAGTTATTAGAAGGTCTTAATTTATAGTCTATATAGTCTATATACTTGTCTTAATAGCGTACTTAGCGCTTCTATTATATGCCTTCTTCTATACCTTCTATACCTTTACTTAGTAGAGTTTAGACTATAGAACCTTTACTAGCGACGACTCGTAAGAGTGTCGGCTTCTTAACCTTAAGCTCTACTACGGCTAAATCCGAGCCCTAATCGGATACGATCGCTATTCGAGGGGCGATATAGTTTTGTATAGGGCTATACCGGATTTAGCACAGAAAGTGGAACCTAACAAGGGGATTGCCAGGGTAGGTGTTCGACGGACTTAACCACGGAGGCGGTTAAGGGGATGCTGCGACGAGCAGGCTTGGCGATTCGGCACGATTAGCTTGAGCCTAGCAGCGTTGATTGTGGGGTGACCCTTTTCCCTTGCTCAAACACGCGCTGGCCAAGCGCGTAATGATAATTTCAACTCCTGCTTGCAACTGAAGCACGCACTCTGCACTCCGCACTCCGCACTCCTCCTCGACGTGTCGCCCGGCTTTGCGACAGCGAGCATCCATTCTCGACCCCCCGGAACGCCCTTTGATGCATGTCATGACCATCGCCACCAAACGTCCATTGGAAGCCCACCCTGCACACCTTGCCAGTACCCACCGCCTACACCACAAGCTTGATTCAACCCGTACCCACCCACCCTCTGCCGCGTCCCAATTCTGCCCACCGCGCTGGAAAGAACGATCCAGAATGCATCATGGCCTCTGCACAGCCTTCGCGATATCTTTCTCAAAGAGAAAAGCATCGTTCTGACGAAATGCACAATACCCACCAACCACCCACCTCTCCCGCCCAAGATGCTAGCCATGCCGTTGCTAGGAGCAAATCGAGGTATCGACGAAAGCCAGGAGCTGCTGAGAGGGCCTCCGACCAGAGTCAAGCTTCGAAGCAGCACCCACCCGAGCTCCCCTCACGATATCATTCCAAGCGCCAGTCACCCAACCTTGCTGTCTACAAGGAGCAAATAGTACAGTCTCCACCAAGAGCACATCGAAGCACGAGCTCCAGCGGGAATGACAATGCACCACACATTACGCCTCCAGTAGCACTTGGAGCCGTCAACGAGAGTCTTGCAGGAAAGGGACGAACTCGCCCATCACCACCCACTTCACCACCCGAGCCTGCTCCCCTCGGAGAGCTCTTCCCACCTCCGAAGCCAGCAGAAGCGCCAGTGCGCGCTGATGGGCCTCCACAATCAGGTCAGATTCGCGCGACCAAGAGCATGACCGAGTTACCAGTCATGGACCACGAGAGTGTGGGCTGTTTCGGTGCCATTTTCAGGCGTAAGCATGCTGCTCCTCCAGGCGCAGAGTCCACCAATCTAGTGCAACGTCCGAAGACAGCCAAGCATGCACAACAAACGATAAGACCTGGTGGAGGTGGCATAGTGCCACTGTACGATGCTCCCGTCTCCGCCGTGAACTCTGGCAGTCGGCAGGTTATGGTGGAATGCGGAACTTCTAATCGATTATTCGCCGTCGAACATGATACTACTTGCGCCGAAATCCTGAAAAGCGCGGCAATCGTCATGTCAGAACGGATCGACATCAGATCAGCACTTCTGCTGGAGCATTATACCACGGTCGGCATACAACGACCGCTCCGCAGGTATGAAAGAATTCGCGATGTAATGAACACTTGGGACAGCGATAGACAGCACAGCCTGATTATCATCGATCCTGGCACAGGAAGTGTCGAACAGGAATTGACTCTTATCGGCGTGCCCAGCATGCCACCTGGCGAGACGTCTTGGTGGCTCTCACACTCCCAGAAGGTGGGCAAATGGCAAAAGCGATATGTGACAATGCTCGGTGACGGTCAGGTGATCCATATGAAGTCTCCTGACAGGTATAAGGAAGCTGAGAAGCTATGCCACTTGAACGATTTCGACATCTACACACCATTGATGGAGAGGCAGAAGAAGAAGATCAAGCCGCCGAAGAAGATGTGCTATGCGATCAAAAGTCAGCGGAAGACCGCTATGTTTGAGAACTCCAGCGACTTTGTCCACTTCTTCTCGACAGCCGACCGCGCGACCGGCGAACATTTCCATTCGACCATTCGGGCCTGGCGCAGCTGGTATCTGGTGAATATGTTAGGCCAGGGCAGGCCCAAGGAGGAGGAACAGCCTCAATCGCCTGCTGAAAGAGAGTCCCGCCATCGCTCGCCCAGTATTGATCGGCATGCAAATCCACGTCACCGCCCGCAGGAATCGATGGATTCTCATTATCAGCTTGGTAGTTTCAAGCCTCTGATCGATATGGACCAGTTCGACCGAAGGCCTCGTAGCTCCGGCTCGCAGCACGATCCCGGCTTCAGAAGATCATCAAACCCATTCGATACCCAACTCTCGCCGCAAAGGCGTGTGTCGACGAGAAGACAGCATCCTCCACCAGCACTGAACAACAAGGCGATCCTTGCAGATGACGAGCCGCTTGCGAATCTCAATCGTAGCACTTCGGTAAACAAGCGCACGCACTCTGCCGATCAGACAGAGTTCAAGGATACCGGTCTGCTCGGCCGCAAGTACTCTCAGCGTCGCCAGGAGAACGCCGATAGGGAAGCTCGCGAGCAACGAGCATTCACATCAGGGCCGAATCTTCTTCACGGAGGGCTGGCCGACGCTCGAGGCGATGGTTTGCAGAGGCAAAGTAGCACTCGCAGACACGTAAGCAACAACGAGATGAAGCGCTCCAGCTCTACAAGGAACACAAGCCAAGGCCGCCATCGATGCGATTCCTCGGAGCTGACTAGGTCCCATTCCCGCAGACAGCAGCCCAAGCCGTTGATAGACTTGACGCCCGAGTACAAAGAACCCCCTCAGCATTCTCAGAAGGGCCGCGCATTTGTGCCCCAGCATGTTGGAGCAGCAGGTCTCATCAAGAGTGCGACCTCTCCCGAAGATCCTTTGGGTATACCTTCGTCCACGGTGTTTCGTAGGGACAGAGAGCCAGCCGCCCAGCCGCCACCTAGTCCTCATAGCCCAGGGCTAGTAGACCTCACTCCCCAGCACAAGGAGCCAGTACATCACGTCCGCAAGGGAAAGGGGGTGTCGCCTGAGAATCATGATCCGAGAGGCCTGGTGATGAATGCATCCTCACGCGAGGACCCACTTGGCATTCGCCAAGAGACCGTGTTCAAGCCTGAAGGAAGACGACGCGAAGCATCGGGGTCTGGCTCGGGCGAATTCCATCCTGTGCGACGACAGAATTCGGTCAGGCAGAAGCCTGAAGGGTTTACTGGTGAAGGTCTCCTCGCATCTGCCGCGAACCGTCAAGGCTGGGGCACTGAAACCAAAGGTCGTGGCGTGATTGATGGTAGCCGCGCTGGAGGCAAACCACTTGTCGACCTTGAAGCAGATGGTACATTCGTCGAGGGTAGTCTGCTCAACAAGCAGCAGAGGGCTGAAGGGATCCCGAAGCCGATCATTGATCGTGAGAAGCGGGATGATTAAGTGAGCAATTTTTCATTTATTTGAACGCTGAGCGTATCGTTTGAAACGCATTGTATTTGCATTATTGTTGCAAGTTGTGAGTGACTTGCAAGCCTTGTTCAGCTTGTTATGATTATACGGCTGTACCCACATCAAGAGAGTAGTACCTAAGCAAGAAAGCGACAGACAAAGCAGACAGCGGGAGTAGTGTAGTGTAGTATAGTGTACCTGGTCGTAATGTGTATACCTTATGGGCCGACTATGAACCAAGACCTTACCGAATGCAATTTCGAGCCTTCTGACCTTCCGTCATGTAGGTGTGGGAATGGATCTCTGCACGGAACAAGCTGTCATAGGCTTGGAAAATTTTGATAACCAGAGACGTGAGAGGAACAGAAGAACTTTGTAGATAAATGCATCACTTGACAGCATCCGAATTTCTTTCGGCGTTGAAATGGGGTTCGTTTGGTATGGGAGCCACGGTGTGAATTCCATGTCCGAATCGAGTGTTGTGGTCGTACATGTATTCTGCTTCTGAACGAGGAGTTGCTATATGTCTGTCCACTAATGCCAAGATGGTGATAGGTCACATTTGGTATCGTTCCGTGGGTTGACTTTGCGGTAAGCAGGTATTGTTTCGATCAGGATGAGCCAAGATGATGAAAGGTACCAGACATTGTTGTCACACACCGGATCGGATCTCCATGGAAATTCGCTTTGCTCTATATCATTCATTCCGTTGGTGCGTCGCGGTCGGGGGCTGTCTTTCTTTTTTTCTTGTCTCATTGCAGTCTTTCGTTCATCAGTATGGGTCGAGGACGAGGCTCAGCACTGCCTCTTCGGCCGCTGAAGCGACGCGAAAGATCGCTTTCGCTGGACCGCAAGGTGAGCCGTCGCATTTTCCACCGTCCGAAGGCATCGAGCATGCGCATGTCGCTGTTCCAGCCTGGGTAACCCCTAAACCCGCTAACACGAACATACATCTAGCCACTCCACGATGCAAACGACTCGCAAATTCCAGATTCGCCTCCAGAAGACACGCACGATCCGGCGCCAAACAGCTATGCCTCGCACCCAGCACCAATCCAAAATCTTCCCACCGTCTCCGATATCCCTCGCGAACTGCGGCCCCAGGAGCAAAGACCAAAATCCACGTACGAGCAAGTCATCAAGTGCCGTAGAATCGAAGATCCCAGCAATCCAAACCCTCCCGATCCCCGCCGAATTGCTGCAACTCATCACATCCTTCGCTCCCCACAACAAGCCCAACCGCTCCGCTACTGGTTGACATATATCATTCCGATCCTCCTGCTCAGCATCACGGCCATCCTGATCACATTTTCTTTATACAGGAACCAGCGTGACCATGAATGTCTTCGCCTTGACATTGCGGATTCGAGAAATTTGCAGTGTGGGGATTATGTGGATGGGGGGGCGCAGTCGATGCCGAAATGTCATGGGTTGTCGATGATGAGGATTGGAAATGCGACGGCCAAGTTTGACGGGTTGGTTTGGAGGGCTTGGACTTTTGCTTATGCTTTTGGGGAGGAGACTTTTGCTTGTGCGAGTTTTTTTGACAGGTGGGAGTGTAGAGAGGTTGGGTGTGTGGGGGAGGAGTGTGAGGGGTTTGGAAATGTTTGTGTTGATGAGGGTGCGAGGGGGGAGGAGGACGAGGACGAGGACGAGAATGATGAGGATGACGATGACGATGACGATGAGGACTCTCCGCTTGGGAATGCACTTTGATCGAACTCTTCATCCAGGAGAGAAATTGTGGTAGGCGCGATTCTTGTCGAAATGTTCGGCGCTTTGAAGGTCCCGATGAGCTCTGCTATACGGATGTTCAAAGTCAGCCGGTGCGATTTCCGTTACCAGACTCGTAAAGTAAAGTGGTAATAGAGATACTTCTCAGATATTAGTATGCACTAGCAATCATCACTCTTGCAAGAGTTGAGAGCGTTCGCATTCTCCATTTACATATGAGATACACATCCATCCGGGCTAATTCTTGCTCTTTTGGCAAAACATAATACATTCAAGCTCGCGCCTACTCTTTGCTATCCGTTCCAGGACCGTGGGTATTCTACCAAATCGACTTCGTCATACACAGTGTGCCAACTTCAAGCGGCATGATTCACCTATTGGCCGGCAGCGGCCTGCTGGGCTGTGTTGGCATCTTCCTCTTGCACTTGACGTGGTCGCTGGAGTGCCTCGAAGGAGCCTGAACTTTGTTAGCGGGTCATCTTCAATTCGGACCTAGACAGATGCCTGGCATACGCTGAAGCAGATTGAGAGAAGTGCGCTTCTGGCCTTCGACCTCGTAAGTGTCCATCCTCGCCTCTGCCTCAACGAAGAGTTGTGTTCTGCACGCTTCTGTTAGTGCTGTTGATTTCTATATCTCTTCTCCAGAGCAGCGATCAAGCAGTTTGGAACGCGCGAAGCACGGCGATTGTGCTAGCGCATCCTATACAGCTTCTGCCTCATTCGTGTAGTGATAGACTGACCCTTTCGGCAGACTGAGCAGGAGATCTCTCTGTGGTCCGTCGTCGAGAAAGCTTGCGACCTTGAACCAGCTCACGCCTTGAACTCCGTTTTCATCTCTTGGACCCTTGTTTACGCCCAGCGCGTACTTGACGAGCTGACGTCCAGTGGATGTATCAACGAGCTCAGGCTGGTCAGCCAAACGGCCGATGAGCTGCATCTTCGCAAGTGGTCGGGCAGGGGTGGTGGAGAATGCGCGGGCTGCGCGTGGCACTTGGAAGCGGAGAGCCTGCATTGCGATTGCGATTTCGTGATTCCGTGATCTTTGCGACGTTCTGTATAGTATGTACAGCGATGAGAGTGTGCAAAGGGTGGTGTGTGTTGGTGTTGGTGATGGCGGTCGCCGTTTTGGAGGCCCAGCGACGCGGACGTTTCGAGCTTCTCCCTCGCCCGCCGCGTCTCATCACGTCCCATTTCCACGACTGACCAATCATCGCCGAGACCACCAAGGAAAACCAGAGTCTGATATTTGCTCATTACCGCTCTCCACTAGAGCATATATCCACTGCTTTCCCCATCTTCATGTCCTTTCTTCTGCGCTGATTCTCCAGGAACACACTCAACTCGTGCTGCAAGAAAGGGCGCAGACGAAACACCAAACACCTTGACACCTGGGAGCCCGGACTGAGTGAAACTGGACGTACACCTGCCACCACACAAGAACGCGGACTGCACACGCTACGAGATGGCCGGCGATACAGTCAGAGATCGCACCTGTGTCCGAACGTGCTGCTATACCTGGCTCTCTAGATGGCGCACGTGAGATCTACTTGCCGTGCCATGGGAGCATTTGACAGGAAACTCTTCTGATGGGAAAAACGGAGCCCTTCGCCAACTTCGCGGAACATCCTGCTGAAGACACGGCCATCGCGGCGTGATGCAGCAGAGGGTCCTTCCTTGGCGATTTATGTCGAAGTTGTATTATTGAAGCAGGGTGGTCAGCCATCGGGAGGGTGACTTCTCATTGCGTTATGCATGATGCAGCTCGTCAGGCCCTCTCGTGCTGACAATCCACTTCTTGACACTTCTTGCCTTGGAAGCGCGCATGGCTGCTGAGGTGCATCTATTTTAATTCTCCGAAGATCCAAGATCCTCTACGACTGCACGACATGGAGCAGGCCAACATGCAGCATGCACGCACGTCAGCACTTTACCACACTATTGAAAGGATCATGTATTCCACTGCGCGTTCGCCGTTCGGAGCAATTCTTCCTGCTGAGAAGCTTGAACCGACGTTCGCGCTCGATGCTGTGCCGGTCTTTCTCCAACAGCATTCGTGAGCACTGAGCAGAGATGAGCTCAGGAGTTCACGAAAACACTCGCATATTGAGTCGCATAAATGTGGCGCTTCAGGCCTTGGGTCCAGGCCTGGGAGATTGCTGCCGCAAACAAGCTCTGTCTACGCAAGAACGACAGCAACAGCTGCGGTTCTATCGGAAAACGAGACGTCGAGGGATCATGATTTGCAAACGTGCGACATCCGCAGGTTGTGTCGGCAGTGACATTCATATGATGACCGTTGCCGCCATCTCCGCGGCGAAAGACCGGTGAGGGCTTCAGCTGAGAAGCAACCTCAATCCTCCATTCGAGCTGTGGCTGTGGCGAAACATCACAACAACTCCTTCTCGGCCCTGATGACTCGTGGGAGCAGGAGCAGAGTTCTAATTTTGAACGCACAATTGTGTGAAGAATTTGTACGCACTATTGTTTTCGGGATTCGCTTCTGCCGGAGAGAGATCGCAAACGGACAACTCGCGTGGACAGCAGGGCTGTGGCCGACCTGAGACGGACCTCCATCATATACACCAATAAGCAATCTCGGCGAGTCATAAGCTACAAGTCTACCATGAGGTATTCTTGTATGTCAGGAAATTTAGCGTACCACTGTTTGCAACAGTGGTTTACTTCCGGAGGGCGTTATCCACTGACTTAGTATAGTTTGCCTAGTAATCGACGGTGCTTTTCCTATTCTAGTACCGTATTAACCTTCTCGGTTATACTTAGACCCCGCAGTGGTTCGGGTTGGTTTGGTTTGGTTTGCTAAGCCGAAACTCTAGTTTGGTTTAGGTTGGTTTGCTAAGCAACCACATAAGTAGCTGGTTCGAACTATATAATTTATCGGTTTTTAAGAAGTGTACGAATGTATACGTAGCTTCAAGCAAGCCCTTTATAAGACTTAGCAGTGTAGCCGGTAGCGTAGCCGGCATTTTTAGTCCTTAGTACTTATAGAATTTTCGAATCCTACTTAGGCTACGTAGTTGTATAAAGGTACTTATATAACCTTAAATCTATAGACAATCAGCTAAGGGCACTAACTAATCAAAAGCATATATATATATAAGGCATTATAGTTTAGTTCGGAAACTGCACTCCTTAGGTATAAATTTCATCCTTTCGTTTACGGTTCAATTCCCTAACTGCTTAGTAGAATGTCTTTATCTAGATCTAGGTAGAACTCATCGATTTCCTTAGAAGTCCTCCTCCTTAAGAAGTTTATACACTTTCCTACCGAACTATTCGATAACATTAAGTACTAGGATAGCTCCTCCCTCGGTATCGGTACAGTATATAAAAGAGCTATAAGGCAGCTCTATAGAACGTTCTACTAGTTACTCGCTATACTAAGGCCGAATGCTAGTTCGTTCCTTAGAACTCTTAGTTATTTAGGAGATATAAAGGGTAGGGCAGGTAGTAACTTCGTATTATATAAGGAGGTAGAGGCTGCTATAGAAGAGGCCTTCAACCTATAGAAGATAGTAAAAGATATAGAGGTAGCTATAGGTCTAGGTACCTAGTTGAATTTCTAGTAGGTAGAGTATAAGGATATTTAGAGGGAGTATTAGGTAGAGTTGCGAAGGCAGGTATATAATATGCTCTAGAAAACAGGGATAGTGCCTATAACTATAACTATTAGGCTCTTCAACCTTCCTTATTTTTCCCTATTTTCTTTTTATAAAAATCTAAACTAATATAAATTAACCGGAATGTCTATCTTCTTTTAGTTCTTTAAAAAACCTAGCAGCGTAGCTAGCAGCGTAGCCGGCAGCGTAGCCGGTAGCGTAGCCGGCCTTTTTACTCCTTAGTACTAACGGGATTTTGGGAGACTTCTATTCCGTACGGCCAATAAAGTATACTGTACTATATATATATGCTTAGAGAGTATTTAGAGCGCGGTATACAGCGCCGTATAATAGCGGCTCATTTCGTATATAGAAAAGCTTGTAGACGACACTACGAATATCCTTCCTACTAGTACATCTATCCTATCTAGTACTATCTCGAATATAGACATTCTAGCCTTTTAGAATCTGATCGAGTGCTTTAAAATCCTTGTCTATAATCGTTATACGCTTCGCGTAGATAGCTATAAGGTTGACCGCTAAAATAGTATTAGCATAGTCCGAAAAGAGGTAGAAGAGAAACATACATTCGAAGATACGAACTAGGTAGGCTTCTATAGCCTCTTAAAGGGCGCCTATCGCGGAGGCTTAGAAGCGAAGGTCTATTCTGTAATCCTAGGCAATTTCGCGAATAAGTCGTTAGAAAGGAGTTTTGCGGATTAGGAGCTTAGAACTCTTCTAATACTGCCGAATCTTACGGAGGGCTACGGCTAAAGAAGGATTAGTAAAAAGACAGTAAGAATGCCGGCTACGCTGCCGGCTACGCTGCCGGCTACGCTACCGGCTATAAATAGGACTTACTTCCTAGGCGCTATCGACGCTTCGTACGATTGCTACTAGTAGTAGAAGCGCTAGTTGTCGTCTTGCGTAGAGCCTTGCCCGCCGTTGTCTTGCGCGGAGCCTTACCCGCCGTTGTCTTACGCGGAGCCTTGCTCGCGACGCCCTTTCTAGCACCGGAGCTAGCGGTAGCAGCAGCAGCTATCTTACGTTAATGTACTATGCTCGTTCTATTATTTCCGATCTTATTGCGACCCGTAGAAGCACTAGGTCCCTTCTTACGAGGCGTCGTAACTTAGTTAAGTAGACTCGCTATTATAAAAGTCGTCGAATTGAGGAAAAAAGTGCGTTACGAAGGTATACGAAGGCGCGCGCGGAGTAAGGGTATTACGGAGGTAGTAGATGTAGAGCGTAGAGGTATAGGTATCGATGCGAAGGTTGAATATAGCGGTAGTATCGCGGTATCGCTAGGCAACAGAGTAAGCTTCGCGCAAGCCTACATTATAGTAACGTTAGAGCAAGGAAAGAAGGTAGGTACGGCTAAAAAAGGCAGGCACGGCTAAAAAAGGCAGGTACGGCAGACTTTGAAATATAGCCGGCATATATAGCCGGCATAGTAATAGGCGAAAGCCTCCTTTTAATGAATAGCCGGCGTAATAATAGTATCCTACTATAGTATAGATATTCTTTAGTAATGCCTTTACTAGCTATAGTAATCTTATAAGTAACCTAGGCCTATTGCTAGTAAATATAAGAAATATCAGGTAGGCTATACTAAACAAGCTAGTCATTTAGCAGGAAAAGGCCTACTACCGTCTCTATATGCCGGCTACGAGTGCCGGCTACGAGTGCCGGCTATCGCTCTAAATTCAACTCCGCCCTATCTCGGAGGCTAAGGTACCGAGCGGAAACCCTATAGCTTATATTCACTCGGTTGTCGCGGAGCGCTTACAGGTAAGGTATTAGAAAAGAGTATAAAAAGTACGAGAAGAGTATCCTAGGATATAGGTCGTAAGTGAATAAGAGTAGCACGCCTAGTTATTTATATAGTACGTTACTCTATACGACTAAGAGCCTATATTATCTCGTGCTTCGCTTATAAGACCTCGACTCTACTAATATACTGTTATTCTCCTGCTCGGTCGCTATCTTAAATCTTCTTCGAGTTGCCGGACTTAGTGCGCATCTATAGCTATGCAATAGCGCTACGTATTATAGAGAATCAACTCCGCCGTATCTCGAAGGCTAAGGTACCGAGCGGAAATCCTATAGCTTATATTTACTCGGTTGTCGCGGAGCGATTATAGGTAAGGTATTAGAAAAGAGTATAAAAAGTACGATAAGAGCATCCTAGGATATAGGTCGTAAGTGAATAAGAGTAGCACGCCTAGTTATTTATATAGTACGTTACTCTATACGACTAAGAGCCTATATTATCTTGTGCTTCGCTTATAAGACCTCGACTCTACTAGTATACTATCGATCTCCTCCTCGGTCGCTAATACGCTATCTTAATTCTTCTTCGAGTTGCCGGACTTAGTACGTATCTGTAGCTATGCAATAGCGCTACGCATTATAGAGAATTTCTCGTTAAAGTTTCTCTCTCGTAGGCTTGCTATCTGCCTCGTAGTATAGAGGATCAAAGTGCTAATGCTAAAGAATCTCCTTATAGTTAGGATGCTAGGGCTCCTTAGGACCTTTGTGTTTTAGGTCTCAATAGAGACGTATTATAAACGTTCTATCGCCCTTTCGCTTACTACCCGCTAGGTCGCGATATGCGAAGAAACTAATCTAAATGTAGCTCGTCTCTATAAGAGCCGGGTGAATATAGAGCGCTAGGTTTCTACTTCGTACCTTAGATTTAGGGACGGCGCGGAGATAAAATCAGAAATGTGGCCGGTACCTATAGCCGGCAAAAGGATACGAAAATGGGCCTCCTCCTAGGTTAATCTAACGACTAAATACAATTTCCAACTAATCCGCTATAAACCGACGCCGAATTTTAGCTAGAAGCTGCATATCTTTATTTTAAAGAGTAACCCGCTTCGTATAGATAGTAAGGAGGTTTGAAAGCTTAAGCTCGGTTACGAGAAATGCCTCCGTAGCTTCCTAAAAAGCACCAATCGCCTTAGCCGTAAATCGCATACTAGACCGAAAATCTAATGTAATTTCTCGGACGAGTCGCTAGAAGGGAGTCTTAGGGATTAAAAGCTCGGTCCCTCTTTTGTTTTAGAAAAGCCGGATCTAGCGAAGGGCAATAGTACCTAGTTTAAAGCGCCGCTTCTTTATCGTCGAGTCCTGCCTTGTTCCCTTTCTTTTAATAGAAAGATAACTTTTCTTCGCGATAGTCTTCGTCCGCCTACTCTTTTTAGCCTTCTCCTATCTACCTATAGCCTTCTTGTTTTTCGGTACTATTTTCCGAGGAACCCCCTTCCTTCGTATATACTACGGAGAGCCTTACTCTTCCGATATCTCGTTCTCGCTACGGTCTCCCTATACTTAGCTTGCTTTACCCTTACCCTTTAGCCTCTAAAGATATTTATCTACGCGTTTAGGCGACGAGGGTATATCGGTAGGACCTAGAAAATTAATAAGCATATAATCGTAAGGAGACATTAATGCTTCTTGCCTTCTAGAATAAATAGTCTTCTATTAAACCGCCTTATTAGGTTATCGTTAGATTCGAATAAAGGATAGTAGCTTAAGGAAGGGGAGGCAGCCGGCTTAAGAAGGCCCGAAGAGCCGAATCCTTAAGGCATGTTTGTCTTTAAGAATATAGGGAAAGGGAAGAAGGAGAGGAAGAGCGAACAGAGAATTAGAAATAGTCCGTAGGTAAGCGGGGTCGGTTGCTATAGCAACTAGTCTGTTTGGGTCCTAGGAATTCGAAATACATTTCGGACATATACCGGCTATATACGCCGGCTATATTACCTTGTACGTAAACGCTTCGTCTCCTTAAAGCTACTCTAAGCTTATATACGTTTCCGCTTCTCGACCTAGTGTCGCCTTCTGCCTCCGCCCTCCTCCTCTTCGTTATCGCTAATTAGGGTTTCGCTTAGACTAAATTTCGTATTCTCTTCGCGCTCCTAGGTTTCTTCGATCTTAAGGTTTTCTAATTCCTCGATCAACTCCTTTAGTATAATCTTTAGTAACCTGCCTTAGCGATTCTAGTAGAGGAGATAGTATCGGAATACTATAATAGATTCGAAGGTAGTAGGCGAGTATGTTCGATTAAAGCGGCCCTAGTAACGAGCGATACTAAAAGACCTCTTATAGCCTATGCCTACGCT